GATCCCTTTACCATTATTTAATGTACTTCTTTGTCTTTTTTGATCTTTGTTGGTTTAAAGTGTTTTATCAGAGACTAGGATTGCAATCCTGCTTTTTTATTTTTTATTTTTATTTTTTGCTTTCCAATTGCCATTCACAATTGCTACAAAGAGAATAAAATACCTAGGAATACAACTTGCAAGGGTTGTGAAGGATCTCTTCAAGGAGAACTACAGACCACTGCTCAAGGAAATAAGACAAGGACACAAGCAAATGGAAAAACATTCCATGCTCATGGATAGGAAGAATCAATATCATGAAAATGGCCATACTGCCCAAAGTAATTTATAGATTCAGTGCTATCCCCATCAAGCTACCATTGACTTTCTTCATAGAATTAGAAAAAACTACTTTAAATTTCATATGGAACCAAAAAAGAGCCCATATACCCAGGACAATCCTAAGCAAAAAGATCAAAGCTGGAGGGAACACGCTACCTGACATCAAACTATATTACAAGGCTCCAGTAACCAAAACAGCATGGTACTGATACCAAAACGGATATATAGACCAATGGAACAGAACAGAGGCTTCAGAAATAACGCCACACGTCTACAACCATCTGATCTCTGACAAACCTGACAAAAACAAGCAATGGGGAAAGGATTTCCTGTTTAATAAGTTGGCTGGCCGTATGCAGAAAACTGAAACTGGACCCCTTCCTTACATCTTATACAAAAATTAGCTCAAGATGGATTAAAGACTTAAATGTAAGACCTAAAGCTGTAAAAACCCAAAAAACAACCTAGGCAATACCATTCAGGACATTGGCATGGTCAAAGACTTCATTACTAAAACACCAAAAGCAATGGCAACAAAAACCAAGATTGACAAATGTGATCCAATTAAACTAAAAAGCTTCTGCACAGCAGAAGAAACTATCATCAGAGTGAACAGGCAACCTACAGAATAGGAGAAAATTTTTGCAATCTGTCTGTCTGACAAAGGGCTAATATCCAGAATCTACGAGGAACTTAAACAAATTTACAAGAAAAAAAAAAACCATCAAGAAGCGGGTGAATTATATGAACATATACTTCTCAAAAGAAGACATTTATGTGGCCAGAAAACATATGAAAAAAACGCTCATCATCACTGGTCATTAGAGAAATGCAAATCAAAACCACAGTGAGATACCATCTCATGCCAGTTAGAATGGCGATCATTAAAAGGTCAGAAAACAACAGATGCTGGAAAGAAATGTGGAGAAATAGGAAGCTTTTACACTGTGGCTGGGGGTGCAAATTGGTTCAACCATTGTGGAAGACAGTGTGGTGATTTTTCAAGGATCTAGAACCAGACATACCATTTGACCCAGCAATCCCACTACTGGATATATACCCAAAGGATTATAAATCATTCTACTATAAAGACACATGCACATGTATGTTTATTGCAGCACTAGTCACAATAGCAAAGACTTGGAACCAACCCAAATATCCATCAATGATAGACTGGATAAAGAAAATGTGGCACATATACACTATGGAATACTATACAGCCATAAAAAAAGATGTGTTCATGTCCTTTGCAGGGACATGGATGAAGCTGGAAACCATCATTCTCAGCAAACTAACACGGGAACAGAAAACCAAACACCGCATGTTCTCACTCCTAAGTGGGAGTTGAACAATGAGAAAACATGGACACAGGGAGGGGAACATCACACACCAGGGCCTGTCAGGGGGTAGGGGGCTAGGGGAGGGATAGCATTAGGAAAAATACCTAATGTAGATGACAGGTTGATGGGTGCAGCAAACCACCATGGCACTTGTATATCTGTGTAAGAAACCTGCACATTCTGCACATGTATCCCAGAACTTTAATTTTAAAAAATCACAGAAGTACTATGGAGTATGCATTTTATTATTATACCAATTCAAACATAGTGGTAATAAATGTTAAAAAGTGGTCACTTAATACCAAATGTTACTGCTATGGCTAAACCATAAACAAACAAGTGAAATTCTGAAATTCTGTTGTTAAAAATTACATTTGAGGCCAGGCACGGTGGCTCATGCCTGTAATCCCCAGCACTTTGGGAGGCCAAGGTGGGTGGAACACCTGAGGTCAGGAGTTCAAGACCAGCCTGACCAACATGGTGAAACCCTGTCTCTACTAAAAATACAAAAAATTAGCCAGGCATGGTGGCGGGGATCTATAATCCCAGCTACTTGGGAGGCTGAGGCAGGAGAATAGCTTGAACCTAGGAGGCAGAGGCTGCAGTGAGCCAAGATCGCACCATTGCACTCCAGCCTGGGCAACAAGAGCAAAACTCTGTCTCCAAAAAAAAAAAAAAAATTGCAGTTGATATTATGATAATCAACATAGGGATTGAGGAGTAAGTTGTTATAATAGTTACGAATATCCTGCATTCCAGCCGCACCCCCAGATAATTTCAGTCATGTACTTCTGGCCAAGAACCACTTAGATATCTGAGGATATGAAAACCATTTAGAACCCACATTGTGTTCACAGAATATGTTCCCAACTATGCCATTAGCCAAAGGCATAATTCTTGGTACAGATGGAATAGGAAGCTGGAGGTGTTTCCTACTTATTAAAGTCATTAAAAAAAAAAAAAGTTGGAAGGACTTTTTAATTGTCCTGTGGTAACCACTGACCAAAAGAACACATTGGTAAAAGCCCCTGGGTCTGGGCTGTTCTCTTGAACCTCCAAATTGTCCCTGGTTCTGCTTGGGTTCCTGGACTGGGTTGTGGTTTGAAAGTTGTTGCCAGGCTTTGCCTACTAGGTCATTGTCTGGTGGGGCGGGGTTGTGTTGAGAGGACTGAGAAAGTGAGGCCTCTCTGACTAGCAGAAACTGTGAAAGAAAATGGGGACTGCACAGTAGAAAGAAGTTGACACTTTTCCTAGGACTCGAGACAGAATCAAGGGGGAGCCAGGTATTAAGCTAATAATAGCTTAGCCCTCAGCTGATCGATCTTACTGTCTTACATTACTATTGTTTTTAAATCTGTTGCTTCTTGTCAAATATATTTTAAGCTCTTGAGGTCAAGGGACCTTGGCAAATATCATTTATTGTCTTGAATATACTAAGTGCTCAATGACTAGCTTTTGCTGGATTCACAAAAACAAAGTTTTAAAGAGTCATACTCTTTACATTTTCTTTCTTCTCTTATGTGAATTCCATCTGCTATATGAATCTGCCAGAGCGAACACTGGAGGCAGGATTGGGGATTTTGTTGGAATTTAGAATATGTTGAGTCTTATTGTGATTCTCTATCACACTGTATTGTCATTTTCCCATGCAAATAGGGGAGGGATCTAAAGGAAACACATGAATCAGTGGTTAAGAAGAATTCTAATGCTGTGACTGAGTCTGTAAAGAAGCTTGGCACAGGCTAGAGGAACAGGGCAAGTCCTGCTATCTCAGAGGGAGTACACTGGCTGCAGGAGCCCTGGCCTTAGAATCAGCAGATGAGGTTTGAACCTCAGCCCTGTTACTTATAGGCTGGGTATCCTTAGGGAAGCCTCAGCTTAGCCCGGGTTTCCACATCTGTGAAATGGGAATTATAGCAGTACCTGTTTGTGGGCTTTTCGGGTGTGTAAATGAGATTCATTAGTTTATTCAATAATGGTTTGTTAAATATAATACCTACAGACACTATTTTAGACGTTGGATATATAGCAGTAAGCAAAACAAAAGCCTCTGCCTCATGGAATTTATATTCTAAAAATATACATAATTAAATTTAATAAAGTGTTTATCAGTCACATTAGTTTGAGCCTCTCTGATGAACTCACGCTGTGGTTTTTGCTGTTATTTGTCTATAGGAGTTACAACAGTAAGTAATTAGGGCTACTCTTGGGTGTCATGTTTGAATTGGTATAACCCCAGGGAAGTCCCAGTAAGTAGGACATTCGTGTGTGCCTGCTAAATTGCAGTATGCTTAGAAAGTCTGTTCCCCTTGAACTGGATTTCTGTCATTTTTGCCCCCATGAAGTGCTTAGTTCAAACAGTCCAGCAGTCTGCTGAGATTCAAGGGTGGCAAGTGGTGGTGTGGCTGAACTGGTTTCTCTCAGTCATTGGTGTTTGCCCTATTTGTGATGTATGATTTCACAGAGTTGTGAAGGTGCTTGTGTCATTTGTGGAAATAAGTCCAAGGGCTAACACAACCAATTAAAATCCACAAGCCACATTTCAGTGAGTAATTTCAACCTTTCCTCTCCAAACTTTTCATTAGCCACCCGTCAAAGAACAAAAAGAACAAATTGAAGGTTCAGTTCATTTTTTTCGTTGCCTTCCCTCTGGGGCTTTTCCTTTGAGTATCGTAATGCCCAAATTCCACGAAAGGAGAAAGGGCAAGCCCGGGCAGCAAACCTCAGAGGAACCGCATTCTGCTGGTAATTGCATACCTTCTCCCAAGAGGTGTATCTGTATTCACCTCCACTGGCTATCGCCTTCTTCATGCAGTACTTCAGGTCTCCAGTGGCACACAGCCCATCTAGTTAAAAATGCAAACAGGAAATTATTCTCTCACTGAATGGCCTTTGTGGCCCAGAAGAAAAAAAAAAATGGTCATTTCTGCTGAGACATAACCTGAAAAACACTCTCACAAGAGTGGAAGCTGAAGGCTCACTATAAGCTAGCCCTGCCTCAGAACAAGGCTGGTGATAGCGTGTGTGTGTGGAAGCTCATGTGCTTGGGCTCAGGGCATTTGTCACCAATGGACATGATTGAAGAAGCTTCTATCACCTGAAAAGCAGTTGTTCTGCTGGGGAAAGCTCGTTTATACTCCGAGGAATTACAGAGCAGACGTTACTTGGATGCGGAGGTTTGGTCTGGAGGACTGTGACATGGCCCTGACAGCACATTCCTGGGTTTCGGTGCTCCTCTGCTCTGCCCAGCTTTCCGTCATCTGGCCTCCCATGACCTCCTGTGCTCCCATTGTGGTTTCCCTGTGTGCTGACAAGTTTTCTGGTTGTTATGTCTTGCAGCCCCCCGAATCCAAGCCCAACTTCACCCCTCTCGCCATCTTGGCCCATGTTCTCGGCGCCATCCAGCCCTATGCCCACCTCATCCACGTCCAGCGACTCCTCCCCCGTCAGGTCTGTTGCAGGGTTTGTTTGGTTTTCTGTTGCTGCCGTTGTTCTCTCATTGGCTTGGTCCTCTCTTCATGCAGTGTTCAGCCTCCTCGTCAACTTTGTTCCCTGCCATCCAAACCTGCACTTGCTTTTTGACAGGCCAGAAGAAGCGGTACGTGAAGACTCCAGGTAAAATCTCGGATGATGACCAATCTGTTCCCGTTTATCCAAAGCTGGCCAGGGACAACAGGGGGCTGCCTCTGCTCTCCTGTGGTTCCATCCTAAGAGACCAGAGCTAAAAGGGACCATTTGCATGAACCAGCATGGCATTTTTCACACCCTTTTTAATCCGGACTCAAGTTTCTCAACTAATCTCTCTGGTGCCTAGAGTTAGGGGAAGGAGCACCTCCTGAATCAGACTCTGGTTTTGACGGCTCTCTCAATTTCATGTGCTCGCTGTGCTTTGGTGTAAGATAACATAAGCGGGAACAGTGTTGAGACACGTGCCAACCTTTTCTTCTCTCCTTTTTATCAGGTAGCATCAGGCAATATTTATTTGCGGGGTTGGGTCCCTGGCCCTGAGCAGTGACACCGAGTCACTTAGACCAGATCCAGTGGGGGAGAGCCAAATAGAACACAGAATAAAAACTTGAGAGACGAAGCGATTTCTCTTAAATTGCTCATGGCTTATGCCTCCTTATCCCCCATATACTCCCAGAACCATCCATGCTCCCAGCCTGCTTCTGTCGCTGTGTGTCATGAAGCCTGAGCTGTCCTGGGAACAGGCACTACCTCTCTCTGAGGGAGAGCAGCTTGACCTAGTTCCTCTTCTCAGGGCCATGCTGTAGCTTTCCCTGCTTTTGTGACTTCCGCACTTAAGTTATTTGCTCTTGTGCTCTTTGGGGAAAAAAGAGCTCTTTACAACCAGGAAAAGAATGAATAGGGATCCTGCAGAATTCCTATGCTGTGAAACTCCTGAACATGCTTCTCTCTCACGCTTAGTCTCGGCTTTCAGACAACCAGATAGTAGAGCCCAGTTTTAAGCATCAGAAGCGTTTTGGGCTTTGGGAGTATTTTCTCTTCTGTCTTTTTCTCCAAAGGGTGGATCCAGCAGAGAGGCTTAAATAATTGGTCAAGCCGAGTTTCACTTTTAGAAGAAAAGAAAACCCCATGCTATTTATATAGATACAGATACATGTATTACTTTATTCCCCACTAGGCACTTACACATCTATCATTTCGTTCTATCCTCATGTGAGAATGAGAAGAGAAATGGCCTGAAACCTGTTGTGGAAAAAGAAAACTAAAGCACAGTGAGGTGACTTGGACACAATGACATGACTAAATGAGAGCCAGTCCAGAATTCAGGACTTCTCCCCCTCAGCTCAGCACTCTTTCCTCCAAACACGTGGGTAATCCCAGCTTTGAGTTTCCATGCAGCTCCCAGCCCAGAGCCTGGCTTGCTCTTTTAGGTTTTATACAGCTTTCTACCTGGCTTTGTCCCGGATGATGGGAAGGAGCTTTTCAATAAATTCTTTTTTTTCTCACTCTATAAATAAGGGAAATTTTCAGATCATGTCTTCCTGACATTCTAGTGATTTCCTAATCATTCCTTGGACATCTTCTGGGCACTTTGGGAGACATTAACTTTTTAAGATACCAGAAATAGCATGGATTATTCTCATTAGATCATGCGGACCTGAACCAGAGGAAACTAAGTGACCACAGACAAGTCAGCTTCCAAAATGCCTCACTCACTCATTAGAGAAACTTGGGCTTTAGGAGAATGTAGTTCCTTCATTTTTATCAAAATGGAGTAAAAATCTTCAAAATATTGGCCCTTTGGACAAAATGGGTTAAGAGACTCGAGAGTGGCATCACTCAGCTAAAATTCTAAAATGTCCTCTCTGCCTTGATGCTACTCACGTTTTTGTGACTCTGAGCTTTGGGGCCCTGTTTCTTGTCAAACATCTTTACCTCTTCACTCGTTTTCATCTCCCCAAATATTTCCAGACTCTTTTTCCTTCCTACCTCTTCCTACCTCCCAGAGTATTTCCAGATTGACAGAGGGCAGTGGCAATAGAATCTGCCCATCTTGTGTGTCTGGGGTCACGATCAGTCAGTACCTCCTCCCCTGGCCATTGTTAGAATAGCACCATTTGGACACCCGTTAGGAAGCTGCCCTCTTGAAACAGTCAAGGCAGGCAGGGAGCAGTGGCTCACACCTGTAATCCCAGCACTTCAGGAGGTTGCGGCGGGGAGATCACCCGAGGTTAGGAGTTCAAGACCAGCCTGGACAACATGGAGAAACCCATCTCTATTAATTAGTAAAGTACAGAAATTAGCCAGGCATGGTGGCAGGCGCCTGTAATCCCAGCTACTCAGGAGGATTGCTGGAACCTGGGAGGCACAGGTTGCAGTGAGCCAAGATCGCGCCATTGCATTCCAGCCTGGGTGACAGAGCTAGACTCCATCTCAAAAAAAAAAAAAAAAAAAAAAGTCAAGGCAGAGTTGGGCTAAGTATGTGTGCCCAGGGGAGCACAGATAGCAACATTGCTGGGGAGCTAGCTCATCAGAGGAATAGAGAGGGCCAAAATCTGTACACTGCAGTGTATAGCAAAGAGGTGGTGGTATACACCCATTATTCAGGTCCATTGAGGCCTCCCCCAAATCCACTTCCAGAGCATGAAGCTTCAGATTTCCTTCCCTGAGCAAAGCCTTTAAAAGTAAATATTGAATTAGACCTAATCAGTGGTCCCATGAACTTCTGAATGATATCCCCTCTGGAAATTGCTTCCTGTCTGTATTAGTCGGTTTTCATGCTGCTGATGAAAACATACCCAAGACTGGGAAGAAAAAGATGTTTAACAGACTTACAGTTCCACATGGCTGGGGAGGCCTCACAATCATGGCAGAAGGCAAGGAGGAGGAAGTCCTGCCTTTCATGGATGGCAGCAGGCAAAAAGAGAGTTTGTGTAGGGAAGCTCCCATTTTTGAAACCATCAGATCTCATGAGACCCAATCACTACTACGAGAACAGTACAGGGAAGACCATCCCCCATGATTCAGTCATCTCCACCGAGTCTCTCCCACAACACGGGAATTATGGGAGCTACAAGATGAGATTCAGGTGGGAATGCAGAGCCAAACCATATCACTGTCCCCTCTTCAAATCATTTATAGACTTTGTTTGTTCAAAGTCAGGAATGAAGATGCCTTTTGCAGCACAGTAGAGAAAGGGTGCTGGAGATGCATTCCCTCCATATTTCCCTTTTCTTTCACTTGCTAACCCCTCCCCTATAAAAGCCCACAGCCCCAAACCCATAACTTGCATTTGCACAGGAGTCCCTGGAAATTATGCCTAAATGATCAACCCTTTGCCACCTGCCGGTCTAGCTGTTCCCACCTCCCTGTAGTGCCATATGATGGAGAATGGGTCATCATTTTGCAAGGTTTGCAAGGGCATTTGAGGGAAACTCCTGTGTGTGCTTTCCAGGCCTTGTGCCATACTCAGAGGCGAAAATTAAAAGGGAACTAGCAGGAGGATCCAAACTTGTTCATGCCTTTAAAGGCCCAGCTGAAGTCTGAAGGGCAGTGTGACAGGAGCAGCCAAAAACTGCTCCAGGCTCTCTGTAGCCAGTTTTGAGATGCACTGTGGAGAACAGGAAGCCAAAGAACCAATGATGCCTGGTGGAGATTTTTTATTTTTTTTCAATCAGAGCCAAAGCCTACAAACACAATCTTTCTGCCAACAGGATTTGTCTGTTTTGGTAGGAACCCTACCTAAAGCAAACTGCTTAAGGCCTTTGAGAAGGAGTTACGGGACACTTGAGTTGTTGAGCTGACAAGCTTTTAAGAAGATAAGACTTTTTGGGTAGGGTTGCCAGATTTAGCAAATAAAATAAAAATACAGCATACCCAGTTAAATTTGGATGGTAGATAAACAACAAAAATTTTTTCATATACATATGTCCCATGCAATATTTGGGGCATAATGTATACTAAAGAAATATTTATTGTTTAATCTGCCATCCAAATTTAACTAGGTGTCCTGTGTTTTATCTGGCAACCCTACCCATTCCTACTCCTTGGGCAATACAAATGGCCCCCTTTAAAAGCACCTCTTCTATCATTTCTCTCATTTTTGTGCCTATCCTATGGCAGTAGAGGGAGATCTCAAGGGAAAATTCCTCCCATAGACTATTGGCTACTTATCAACTTGAGGAAAAAACAAGGCCCTTTCTTGGCTTGCTTATTTATTTATTTACTTACATTTTTTTTTGAGATAGGGTCTCACTTGACTAGAGTGCAGTGGTGCAATCTCTGCTCATTGCGGCCTCAACCTCCTGGGCTCAACCAGTCCTCCTGCCTCAGCCTCCCAAGTAACCTGGACTCCACACGTGTCCTATCATGCCTGGCTAATTTTTAAATTTTTTTTGTAGAGATGGAGGTGTCTACTGTCTGGTCTTAAATTCCTGGGCTCAAGCAATCCTCCCACTTCCCAAAGTGCTAGGATTACAGGCATGTGCCACAGCACCTAGTCTGTTATTTTTTAATGTATTATGTTATTGCCACTTCATTATTCAATTTCACAAACCTAATATCAATGGAATGTTACTCCTTTTAAATGATAATCTTGGACACCTGGACCATTCCCTTTTATTTCTGTGTGCCAAATACCCCTGCTGGTTTCCCGGCTTGCCCCTGTTTTGTCCCATTATCCTTATTTAGTGAGGTTAATAAGTAATGTTCGCAAAAATCCAGTCAGAAGAGCTTTTCCTCAGATGCTGTTTCCCTTACTTTTAGTCTCCCTTCCCTGGTCTCTTTGCTTTTTACCCACCTGCTCTGCCCTGCCCAGGACCTGCTCTGCCCTGTCATCAAGAGGCAGAAATATTGCCTCAAAACCTGGTCTCTGAGACCCCGGCTAATGTGAACTAGATTCTCCTTTCACCTTCAATGTCATAACAGGCTCCATTTGCCTGTCAGTATAGTCTTTTATCTGTTTTAGCACTTTTCACAGCCAAGTCACTCCTCCTCTCTGCTTCCCAGCTTCTCAAAAAAAAAAAAAAAAAAAAAAACCTCCTATGTTCCTCCCTGGAAAGTTGCACATAGGATATTTGGTCCTTGCTGGCCAACACAGACTTGGTTTCTTTGGCTCACAGACTGTGCCCCTTGTCCTGAACTTTATTCTTTCATCATAATTAGCCAGGAAGAGCTGTTTTCCTGTTGAAGCTGATGAATACTAAGGACTCTTCTTTCCTTCATTCCCAGGGGTCCCACTTCATTTTCTCCTGCTTTCCCAATATTTTCCCACCTGGCCATCATCTCTTGGTTCCTAGAAAACCAGAGGGAACAACAGTAAACTAAGACCCAGCAATAAATTCGAGATAACCATTTACTTGGATCAGCCTGCACAATGGAGACCATGTGGCTCACAAAGTTTAAAATATTTACCACCTGGCCCTTTGCGGAAAAAGGTTGCCACCCTCTGCTCTAGAACAGTGGCTCTCAACCCTCATTTCATATTGGAATTACTTGGAGAGCTTTTTTAAAATACTGATGCTCAGCCGGGTGCGGTGGCTCACGCCTGTAATCCCAGCACTTTGGGAGGCAGAGGCAGGTGGATCACGAGGTCAGGAGATTGAGACCATCCTGGCTAACACGGTGAAACCCTGTGTCTACTGAAAATACAAAAAATTACCTGGGCGTGGTGGTGGGCGCCTGTAGTCCCAGCTACTCGGGAGGCTGAGGCAAGAGAATGGCGTGAACCCGGGAGGCAGAGCTTGCAGTGAACCAAGATGGTGTCACTGCACTCCAGCCTGGGTGACAGAGTGAGATTCCATCTCAAAAAAAAAAAAAAAAGATGCCTATATAATATCTGCACATCTGGGTAGAACCCAGGCATCTGCATTTTCTAAATGTTCCCCAGGTGATTCGGATGCACAGTGAGAGTGATTGTAAACACTCATTGGACATGAGAAAAGCAAAAACAAAACAAACAAAATGCCTCATGTCCCCTCTCCCTTCTTCCTCCTCCCCACACTCCCCATACAGGTGCGCGTGTGGGCTCGTGCACACACATGTGTAATTGCCCTCATGCACCTTGTCTATTCCTTCCCCTGGGGGTTGGAGAGCTCTAGCTCTGGAATCCTGCCTCACCAGCAAGACCCAGCCTGGTAAGAAATCAGGAACATCTGGGAGAGCTCATGTCCGCCCGTGGCCTGGAACTGAAACTTGGCTTTGCTGGAATTTCTCCTTTTTGACTCACTGAGCATTGCCAGCTTTCAACAGGGTCTGTTGGGAGCGTGTTCCCCAGAGCAGCTTGGAACTTCTTTCCTGCCCCTGCTTCCCTCCCCTCCCACAAGGCACTCCCACTCCAAAAATGGGGCCCAGCCTGCCCTCCCGCTGTTTGGCTGTTGTAACTCCCAGGTAGAGTTTTAACATGGCACAAGGTGACCCCACAAGAAGTGTAGTTTCTTGAAGCTTATGGCTTTTCTCTGAATATTTCTCATTTTTCTCCTGTGACCTTTGCAGCTTTCCCACCTCATGTCTTGCCATCTGGCTGCCTTGCCAGGCACTTCCCACGAGAGGGGACTAGGTAGTTTACAGGGAAAGGGAAGAAGGGAGATTAAATATCTGGGGCTTTCTAAGGGTTTTTTCAAAAATGTTAAATAAACTCCTGTTTTCACACAGCACACCGTTCCGGAAGGCGAAAGCCTTGTATGCCTGCAAAGCTGAACATGACTCAGAACTTTCGTTCACAGCAGGCACGGTCTTCGATAATGGTGAGTTTCTCATCTCCTCACAAAGATATGGGTGGGGGGCAGGGGCAAGGGGAGCACATAAATAACTGGCATTTTCAAAGCTCCTCCCTAGGGAAAATCTCAATACAATGGGTAAGAAAAAAAAGCGTGTGTGTGTGTGTGTGTGTGTGTGTGTGTGTGTGTGTGTGTGTGTGTTGGTTTCTGTGTCTTTTCCCAAAATAAAAGAGCAGCAGCAGGACTTCCGGAGACATCGTGAAGAGTGAACTAGTGTAATCAGCTCCGCGTTGAGTTGTTACCACCATGAATGAGATTGTGCCTGCAAAAGACCCAGCCCAGGACCTGAAAGTGGCTTTAAGAGATCATACGCATCACATGTTTAAAATGGTACTCAACACGTATTAAGCATTCAATAAGTTAATATTTTTATTATTAAAACCATCATCATCATTGTATCCATCTTCAAAAAAGGCCCTGATGCTCTCATAGTTCACAGTGACAATTTTTCCTCACTTTTGTCTGAGCAGTGGGTGCTGCACCTGACTCTGGGGTCCTGGCTATATCTGTAAACACATTCCAGGCCAGAACAGAGATGGGTTCCTGGGGACCAGCCCTTGACCGTACTCACGTCCACAGGGGCTGCCTTTGTGTGTGCCCAGCCCCTGCATTCAGCATAGCAGAGATACCCATCAGGTACAGGTAGACAAAAGGGGGAACAAGGCACAGAGCATGGGGGTTTCCCAGGTCACACTCAACCCTTGGCCTTCTGGGTCAGCAGAAGGAGGAGGGATTACCCCAGAACTGCATGTGGGTGTCTGGGTCTGCATTCCCTTTTATCGCTCTCAAAGCCTCAAGCACTGTCCTTAAACCTTTGCTCCATTAACTTTCATCTGGGCCCTTTATAAATCAAAGTGCACAAACAGCCAGCCCAGCCACCTCTCCTGTTCATAGCTGGTGCTTGCAGGCCCCAGCAGACTGCAGGTGCAGTGCAGATGCAACAGGGCTGCTGAAGGCTGTCCAAAGCCATTTTACTGGTGAGTGTCCCCCACACAGGCCCAGGCGGCGGAGTCCTCGCCCTGCCGTAACACGACACGGCTCTTACAGAAGACAAACCAGAATGGGCTGCGTTGCTTGGGCTTCTGCTCCCTGCTTTGTCAGCAGGGAAGGAGCTTCTGCCTGTAGAAGAGCAGGATTTGAGAGATTCCTACACTGACAGGTGAATCCAGGGCTTAAAGGTCTGTCCTCTAAGTCCCAATTCACTGCTCACATGGGCAAGGGATCATCATGTTCCTATCAGCCATTCCCTCTGACAACACAAAGGACTCCTGATCTCAGGGGCAGAATTGTTTTAAACTAGCAAAAGTTATGTATATGCTTCTATCTTCTTTGTGATTCCTTTTGGTGAGCGCAGCCTTCTTCCATTTTTTAACGGTTTATTAAGATAGCCGTACCACCTACAATTTACCCATTTAAAATGTACAATTCAATGGTTTTTAGTATATTCAGAGTTGTGCAACCATCACCACTATATAATTCCAGAATATTTTCATCACCCCCAAAAGAAACCCCATACCTTTTAGCAGTCATGCCCCGCTTACCACAACCCATTTCCATCCAGCCCAAGGCAACCACTCTTCTACTTTGTCTCTCTGTATTTGCCTGCTCTGGACATTTCATACAAATGGAATTATACAGTATGTGATCTTTGAAACTGGATTCTTCAGTTTGCATAATGTTCAAGTTCATCCACATTGTAGCATGTCAGAACCGTATTCCTTTTAATGTGTGATGGTATGGACATAGCACAGTTCATGTAAGCTCATTCCTCAGTAGATGTGCACGTTGTTTCCACTTTTTGGCTGTTTGAACAATGCTGCTGTGAACATGCGTGTAGGTTTTTGTGAGGGCACAGGTTTCCAGTTCTCTTGGGGATACACCTATGAGTGGGATTTCAGGGCCATATGAATTCTGTGTTTAAGTGTCTGAGGAAACGCCAAACTGTTTCACGAAGAAGTTGCACCATTTTACCATTTTATGTTCCTACCTTCTTTCATTTTTAAGTCTTTCTGCAGTAGCTTAAACAGTTAAGCATAAAGGGGGGAAAAAAAAAGAAGAGAAGAGAAGCCTGGGTGATTGTTAACTCCCAAGTCCTTTTTTCCCCCAGCAGAGTGTCCTTCAGCATCCACAGCCATCTTCACTGCCACACCGAAGCCCCGAGCGCCTCCACCTCTCACCTGGGTGCTTCCACTGGCCGCCCGACACATCTTCTCACTTCTGCTCTTGCTGCCATGACCCCCTCTTTACAGAGCAACGAGAGTGATCTTTGAAAAATGGAAATGACATTAAAGCCCTTCAGTGGCCTCCCATTGCTCTGAGAATTACTTACAAGGCCCTCCAGGGCCCAGTCCCTGCCCCTCTGACCTCTCGCCCTCACTTGACATACTACAGCGTCATAGACCTTCTTCATGTTGTCAAGTAAGGTCAGCAAACTATGACCTGCCGGTCAAATCCAACCCGCCACCTGCCACCTAACAATTCTGTAAGTGCTCCCACCTACAGCGTGGTAATCATCAGAAATCCTATAGGTATTGACAGATGAGAGCAGGAGGGAAGTTTGGTTGAATGAGTAAGAGGCCTTACCCAAGCCTTCCTGTGGGCTCTAGGAGTCATGGCAGAGTTTGCTGACACTGGTTTGTTTTTAACCAGCCTTGCCAGTGACCTTTCAAATTCCCTGAGGAGCAAAAGGCCAAATTAAACGTGAAAGAAAACACCTCTCAGTGTTGACTGAGTTGCAGTAGAAAAGGGACCTGACGAAATGTTAGTACACTTTCTCATTTGGGTTAACTGAAAATATGTTATTAGGTCTTCTTTCCAGAGGAAAATGCTTACGTAGACCCTCTTCCTCCCCACCCCGTCACCTCTACCGGAGAAAATGAGGCATTACAGAACACTGTTATTCTGCCTGGCGGGGGGCGGTGGGGGCGTCTTTTTCCTTGTTCCGTTTCTTGTTAGTTTACCATTGGGGATATTAGGTAAAGGCTATTTAATTTGTATGCTGTGTAGCTGTCAGATTAAATCATCCAACCAATCAGAAGAAAGTGCACGTGTGTGTGTGTGTGTGTGTGTGGTGTCTTTGTGTGTGTGTCAGGATTAAGAAGAATGAATAAGGAAGAGGAAAAGGGAGGGGCCCGTGGAGGGAAAGTCTGTTGTTTCGTAATGATTAATCTCAAAGCCTTTGGATTCCAGGGGCCCCTACTGTGACTCCGGAGTGGCTGCTGTTGTCAGCTCATGGACTTTGTGCAGTGGGAAATGGATGTGCAATACCTAGAAATAATTCCAGTGTCAGCTCTGGCCAATCTACTGGGAAACTGTCCATTTTAACAAGAGCACCTCAGACAGTAACTGGAAAGAGAAATAGCTCCTATTCTCAGGAACGTTAGTCATCTTGAAGCAACATGATTCGTGATACCTGGAAAATGCACATGGCAGTCACTAAAATTGGGTTCTAGGGATACTTTTAACAAGATCTGAGAGGAGATGGATCCATTCATTCCCATGGTACCTGACACAGCACTACTACACAGCAGGCCTGTCCCAAGTTTCCTTTGCTGATGGAGAACATCCTCACGGGGGAGCCCCCAGGCTGCCTACGAAATGGGCTAACAGGAGAGCACTCAGGGATCTCCTTCAGCTTCTCCAGCCATCTTCGCTGCCACGCCCAAGCCCAGGCCACCTCCACCTCTCACCTGGGCGCTTCCACTGGCCGCCTGACACATCTTGTTGCTGGCTTCCACTCTTGCTCCCATAACCCCTTCTTCACATAGCAGCAAGAGTCATCTTTGAAAATGAAAATCACATCATGTTATTTCCTGCTTAAAATCTATCTGTGGCCTCCCACTGCTCTGAGAATGACTTACAAGGCCCCCCAGGGCCCAGTTCCTACCCCTCTGACCTCCTCTCACCCTCACTTGACATCCTGCAGCTTCACAGGCCTTCTTTATGTTCTCAAGTAAGAGCAGCAAACTATGACCTGCCAGTCAAATCCAACCCGCCACCTGTTTTTGTAAATAAAGCTTGACTGGAACGTAGACACTCATGCCTTTGTGTCTGCGTGTTATCTGTGGCACTAATGGCAGAGTTAAGGAGAGAGACACACTGACTGTGAGGCTCTTTAGGAAACACAGGCCCACCAGTGTTCTAAAATCCCTCCCAGCCTTTTCCCATTGCAGGGCCGCTGCGCTTGCACTACCCACTGCTCTAGTCTTTCTCCTTTCACCACTCTCTAAAATTATGTGCTTGCTTATTGCTTGATTGTCCCGCCGAGCAAAATCTTGTCTGCTTGTTCTGTGCTATGTGCAAGGACCTAGCATGGTGTCTAGCATGTGGTAGGTGTTCAGTAAACATTTTTAAATGAGTGAATGTACTTTAATTACCCAGGGGTCTGCACCTCTTTTAGTTAAGACTTCTTTTGGGGACAGTCAGCCATTAGAGACCTTAGTCACACACTTGCTCCCTGTCCATGGTGAGCGAAGGAGGGCAGAAGACATGAGTTGTATGCGCAGGGGTGTATGGTGTACACAGGGGTAGAGCTGAGAGAAAGTGGTTGGCAGGAAGCACACCTGTGTCCCCAGAAGCTTGTATTTGTTACATGCTTGCTGGGCTGAAGAGCCCCTCAGGCAGCTTGTGGCAACACCTTTTGTGTTTGTATAGCATCTTGGACACTGGTGCAGTTTGGTGTTGCACATTGGCGCCATTCAGCCCAACAAGCGCTTAGCATCTTTGATGTTCAGAGCATTGGGCTAGGCAACAGCAGTAGTAGTTAAGATGACAGACTCTGGGATCAGATGTCCTGGGCTCTGATTCATTTTCATCGTCTACCAGCTATTAATATTTAGTTTTGGCCAAGATGCTTAACTTTTCTCAGCCACAGTTTTTCATCAGTAAAGTGAGGATAATAGCAGAACCAACTCCATAGTCATTCTGAAGATGAAAGGAGGAAATGCAGGTGTGAAGCGCGTATTCGCAAAAGGTCTGCCACCTGGCATGTGCTCAACATGTTATCTTCCTTATCAGCATGGCTCACACTCTCTGGTTAAACAGAGGCCTGATATAGTGGGAAGGGGGTTGGTCTCTGGAATCAAACAAGCTGAGTTTAAATTTTGGTTCTAGTATTGTGACTATGCACAAATTATTTTACCTCTCTGAGCCTTAATTTTCTCATCTGCAAAATATGGATAATAATAATATAAGTTAGGATCCTGAGAATCAAATGAATCAATATGTCTAAAACTCCAAGCACACGGCAGCTTCATAACGTATCTAAGTGTTAGCTTGTATCATTATAATTCACGAGGCGAAGGGAATTACTGAAGGTTGTTGAGCCAGAAAGTGCTATAATCCAAACCGAAACGCACTGAAAAACTAGATAGAGAAGCAAAGCTTAGCACATTTGAACAGCATATTAATAGGATGCATGCATACTATGTGGGATGTACTATGAGCATTTTAGGAGTCTGGAAGAGGAGGGTGCGGGTAGAAGGGATTCCATGGTAATATTTACAAAGGAAGTGGGGCTTCAGGTAAGCCTTAACGTGGAAACAGAAGACAGCAGAAAGAAAGGGGGCACTGGTGCTGCCTCCCTCCTCCGTTAGTAAATGACAGTTTGCATTTTAACTCGGAGGCATTTGGGCACAGAAAAGTTATAGCTCCTAACTTCCTGTGAGCTAGTGAAAATACAGGTTCCTGCATCCCCTTCCCAGAGATTCTGCTTTAATTGATTTGCCATGGGTCCCAGGAATGTGCGGTTTGAATAAGCATCCTGAGGGTTCTGAAGCACATGGTCTGACATATGCTTTAGTAAACCCTGGCTTGAAGGCTCAGTGAGTCAGCAGTCCGACCCAAAGGCTGTGTTATCTCCTGCCATCCCCTGTGACCTACCTTTTGGCCTCCAGTTTGGAGGGCCTGTCTTGTCCCTTCTAATTCTTTCCTTCGCCCCCAAATTGCATTGTAAATGTTTTCACCCCAGTACCTGTGCTGTGGTTGAACAGCTGGCCAGGAAAAGGAGAAAGATCTGAAGGAGATGGACTCAGTGCATCTGGTAGAGTAACAACTCAACTTGGAGCTTTGCTGTAAAGCAGGAGGGCCTGGCTTTTGTTTTTGTTTTGTCAGTTTGGTTGCTTTATTCATTCTAGGTTTTTATTTTGGAGAATGGGGTTGATTTGTTAATTTTATTCTGAACATTTGATTTTTCCTGAAGCTCAGGTGGGTGGTAAGGGCCGTCTGGTTTTACTAGGACTTTACTAGGAGGGAGTCTTGCTGAACAGTCCCGATCCAGGATCTCCTACTGACTAGCCGGTACTGAGCATTTGCTCTGTGCCTGGCTCTGTGCCGAGTGCTTTATCCACACCAGCTCCTTACATATTTGCAAGAACCGACTAAAGGGAAGAGGGGCTTGTCACCAGTATGAAGTGCAGAAACTGAAGTGATCTTGGAAGCTTTGGTTGGATGGATGGGCAGAGGGCAGGGGTATTTGGGTGTTCTTTAAGAGTGGCATGGAAGACCTTTGGTAATTGGAGAGGCCAGGTTGCTTTTAATTTGTGTATTCTTCCAAGGCACTTCTCTCCCAGACTCTGTCTTGTGTGGGTTGTCATGAACCCAAAGTATCCTTGCTGTTTATCCCTCAGGCTTAGTGATCTGAAATTGGCCAACTTTGGAGGCCAATGAATAGATGTTTAACCTTGTCTTTTCCTAAGGAGGCACTCAAGGTGTACCCAAAGTTGACTGGCACTGATCTTCTGGAAGATTCTTTTGCTGTCTCCCATTTGCCTCCTTTGGTTTCTGTTCTTGCGTCTTTCCCTACAAACTGAAACTAGAATTCTGTAGCAGTGTCGGAGCGGAAATGCTTTTCTAAAACAAGCTCAGGAAGTCATTTAATTAGCCCAGGAAGGGAATAGGGGAAAATCTATTCTCTCCAAATAATCTTGGAAAATTGGAGCTTTCCTAACACATTAAGAGTAAATGCCCTGCCTCACTGCAGAGTGATCTGTATATCTTCAGTTGACAAGCATGAACATCCCCCACCTCTTAGTCCCATGATTCCTTCTCTCTTCCTTCCTGCTATTGACTACTTTGCAGACTCAGCTGGATTTTAGATAATCTTTATAATATCACAATGGTTTCCATGGAGATGGATCATGATGTCACAAAAGTAGATACACATTTTTGGATACTGAAAAATCAAAGGGCAATAGAGGGAGGAAGAGAAGAATTTTTAAGCTGGTATATAGAGGAGGGGGAAATCTAGAGAACAGGAAAGAAAACTAAGAAAGAGTGTGAGTGAAACAGAGAAATGGCTATTCAAAGGCTATTCAAAATCACAACCACCAAAAAAAAAAAAAAAAACCCAGAAAATTTGCAAGGAAATTAGAAGCAGGGGGTAAGGATTTGAAGGAAAGTAAGATGATGATGAGAAGCTGGATTGATTGAGACAGGGTCTTGCTCTGTTGCCCAGGCTGGAGTGCAGTGGTGCAATCACGGCTCAGTGCAGCCTCGACCTGCTGAGCCCAAGCAATCCTCCCACTTCGGCACTCCCCCTCCTCCAAGTAGCTGGGACTACAGACACGCTCCATCAAACATGGCTAGTTTTTGTATATTTTGTAGAGGTGAAGTTTTGCCATGTTGCCCAGGCTGTTCTCAAACTCCTGGGCTGAAGCAATCCACCTGCCTCAGCCTCCCAAGGTACTGGGATTATAGGCATGAACCACCAGGCCCAGCCTCTAGATGCTGGATATCTTTAGAGACTAGTTCTTAGTCTTCTGTGGGTACTGCACTGAGTACATAGTTGATACTGGGCAGGCGGGTGGGTGAGTACGTGGGAGGAAGGAAGGAAGGGAAAGGAAGAAAAGGAAGGAAGAAAGGAAGGATACATACATGTATGGATGGACCAGGTCAATTGTTGCCCTCTAACCTACATAGTAGGAATCTGTCACTTCTTTGTAGTTTAAACCAGGAGCTTCAGAAAATCTATGAAATCCCTAAAATTGTATGCAAAATTTTGAATGTCTGTGACTGTTTCCTTTTTCATTGTGAAGAAAGTTTTCAGGACAGCTTTCATCAAAAGGCTTATATCCCACAAAAGGTTCAGAACTCTAAACTTCTAGAATGATGTAACTTAATAAGTGATTGTACTCATTGTTCAAGCTTCCTTCACACACACACACACACACACACACACCCCACACACACATCTGCCGCCTGCTCTATCTGTAACACCATCTATTCTCGCTTTCTCTCCCCTTCCTGTACAGTTCACCCATCTCAGGAGCCTGGCTGGTTGGAGGGGACTCTGAATGGAAAGACTGGCCTCATCCCTGAGAATTACGTGGAGTTCCTCTAACCGTGGGCCCCAGCAGAACTGCTGAGCTTTACATGGTATCCATGACAACTGCTGATTCCAGTGTCATAGGCCATTTCTCTTTGCCACTGAGAAATGCAGCGTGACTGACTCTGTTGCTACCTGTCAACATGAATGTTTCTGTGAGCTCTGGTGTCACTCATCTCCATGATCATCTCAGCCAACACTCGTCAATACTGCAAGAAAAGAAGTCAATCAGCAGAGGAGACCATTTGCTTTTGATAACTAAGAGGAAGACTTGCAAAGCCGTTTTCTCATGAGTACCCTAAATAGGGGGCACTCATTTTGTTTCAACAGTCTGAACGCCCAACCTTCAGAAAGAGGAAGTCAGATAGAAGTAGTCCCCGAGAGCACACTGCGTAGCTAAGTCTGCTGGGGCTGGGTGAAGAAATTGGCGCTGAGATCCAGGCTGGATCCATTGCTTTTGTTTACAGTAGGCACTCTCTCTACCCCACCTCTCAGTACTTGAGACTTAAAGTGCTACAGGCAGCTGAGTCTGTTTGCATGCAGGATGAAGAGGGTTAAAGCACTGTTTATATAAGATCCAATCTCTCACCATCTCTAAAGCAGCCGTTGGCCCATCATCAGTGAGATATAGTCCAGTCTTCTCATGCACGGGAACACACACACCCTGCGTTTTTCCCTCCCCGGCTAGGAACCTCTCTGCCACCAAGGGCTGCCATCCATCGCCTAGTAACCACGGCAACCCAACCTACTCTAAAACCAAACCAAAAAAAATAAAATAAAATAACACATCCTCTTTGCATGACACATTTTTTCTCTCCCCTTTTTGGTATACTTTTATTGAATGGTTTTCTAACAACTTGAAGCACATGATCAAGGAATTAGGGTGGTCTACGTGAGGCAGACGGGATAGTAGCTGAGAACTGTTCCCCTTCTGATGAATTTCAGCAGCATCAGGATATATTTGGAGCACACCTTAGTAATCTCTTGAGATTAAATTACATAGTCTTAATATTTCTGTTCCTCCATGCAACTGATGTTTGTTTTTTAAAGGGTAAGATGCTGCCTCCCAATGGGTGACACCATCTGACTGGTTTCCCCATGTCTTCCTGTTCACCCATCCCTGCTCCCACCCTTGCCTGCCTCTAACCCACCACTGGCCAGCCCCCTTGCCCTGCTCTGGGCTGCTGAACACTGGTGCTGTGGTGGTTTTCAAGGTTAATTCCTAGGCTTACTGTATGGCCTATTTTAAAAGGACATCTATATTCACTGCCACTCCGAAAAAGGGAATTATTTCTCAGTCTTTTGAGGCATGAGACTAATATAGGCCATTGTGATTCAGAAAGAAACCCAAGGTTGGAGGGTGGGATGGGTACCCTCTGAAAAAGGGAATTTGCTGGTGAAAAGAGGCTGGATCTTGTGGAAGACTGCCTTGGATGGGGAAGTTCTGCCTGGACATTTCAAATTCACTTGGCCTTCAAACAACAGAGTCATCCATATCTTCCACATGTGAATGTCATTGCAAGGGTGACTCTAGACAAACTACAAACCGATGGACAGTCAGGCTCCCCAGGAGCCCCTTGGATGGCAGCGTTGCTTCAGAGTGTTTCCTGTTTCTGGAATTCCTTGTTAGGGAACTTCAAAGAAGAAAAGAAAAACTTGAATTGTGTGGAATTACTGTATCTTTTACTTTTTTTTTGAAAAGATAAACTTGTAAATAGAATGATTTGAAATACTATATGGCAAAGTTTTATATTTGATATTCTTTAAGCTAGTTGCTCACACGCTTAGTCTTCAGTTGCTGAAGAAGTATGTTTAGAACGGAGAGAGGGGCGGCAAAGCTGAAGAGAGTCAAGGTCACTGTCCCCGCTTCGGCCTGAAGGAAAGAGAAGACATTCCTATGGCCTTGCTCTCTGCTGTCCCGTTAGTGGGCATGATACATCAGTGGTGTTCAGTCTTTATGTGTTTCTGAGCATCCCTTGGGCTTTGGATTTGGAGATGGGAAGAGCATCTCCAGGCAATGAGTTTTTCAAAGAATGCCTACTTAGTAGTAAGATGAAGCTCAGGATTTAAATAAGTGGGGTCAGGCATTTGATTTTTTGTCTTTCTTCTCAGGTGTATTTCTTGGTACCCCCAAGATATCAGGACAGAAAGAGATGAGTCAATTGCTGTGTTCTTTACTTCTTTTTCTCCACATCTTCTGAGACTTCAGAAATGTGGACAAGCTAGTTTTCAAATTTTGTGTGCGTCTGTAAGTTCTTAAAAAACCAGCTTCTTAGAATGTTCAGTTTTCAATGTGCTGCTGCTTTCCTTTTTCCTAAACATTTTAAAACTCTTCCCTTTCACCTCCAATTCCCTATGATCCCAAAGGAAGAGGAAGACTCCAGGAGGGATGTAGATTGTGCCATCATAGCTTTACAGGTGGTTTTAAAGTTAACAGGGGTTTGTCATGGCAATTCACTACTCAATTTATCAGCTCAAGGATTATATGACTCTTTTCCAGGAACTCACCCAAGAGCAAGCTAGACACTACCATCGAATCAGGGAATAAGAATTAAGAATGGACAGGACCAAGATAGAACTCGAGAAAGCCATTGGAGAAAACTCGAGAAGAAAGGGAGTATACTAATAGGTTACATCTGTGGACTTGAGGACAAGAAGACCTTGGGAAATGGGGGCCTCAGGGGATGTGCATTCACCTACTATTGTGTTTCCCAAAGAGAGACCAACATCATGCTTTTAACACATACAATGGGGTTTTTTATTTGTGTTTTTGTTTGTTTGATTTTTGAGACAGAGTCTCGCTCTGTGGCCCAGGCTGGAGTGCAGTGGCACAATCTTGGCTCACTGCAACCTCCACCCCCCAGGTTCAAGTGATTCTCCTGCCTCAGCCTCCCAAAAAGCTGGGACTACAGGCATGAGCCATCACACCCAGCTAGTGTTTTGTATTTTTAGTAGAGATGGGGTTTTGCCATGTTGGCCAGGCTGATCTCGAAGTCCTGACCTCAAGTGGTCTGCCCGCCTCTGTTCCCCAAAGTGCTGGGATTCCAGGTGTGAGCCACCATGGCCAACCACATTTGATGTTTGAAGTTGTAATCTGTCCCATCATAAACTTACCTGGAGCTCATGTGGAGGAACAGAAGGCCAAGGTCCTTCCTTTGGGAGTGCCTCACAAAGCATCCCTGTAGACACATGGCCCCAGCTTCACTGCTTGGAAGCATGTCCCTCCCTCCTGAGTTGGCTCTGATTTGAAACCAGGAGAAACAGAGCTGCTGCCAATGGGATCTTTTAGGTAACCCCCTCTCCAGCTTCCATGTGTCTGTGCAGTGCCCATGACTTGCTGCCAATGGGATCCCTTAGGTACCCCCTCCCCAGCTTCCCTGTGGCTGTGTAGTGTCCATGACAGATGGCTGCCAATGGGATCTTTTAGGTAACCCCTCCCCAGCTTCCCTGTGTCTGTGTGGTGCCCTTGACAGATGGCTGCTGTGTTTCCCTTTGCGCAGCCAGGCTCCCCTCCTTCCTATTAGCTACAAAACTGGATAAACTTCAGAATATGAGCCAACGAGTAGGAAGGAACTTGAAGACTAAAAGATTTTACTCTCTCCCCTATCCACGCCCCCTACCTCTGACTCTGTGTGAACAGGAAACTTTAGGCCAGATGAGGAGAATGAATTGGTTATCAGAGTGGAAGACCATGGCCCAGGATCCCTGAGCTTCCCCAGTAGCCTCCAGTTTGCTTTGAAAGACCCAGGAATCACTTAGCCATAGCCTGAATCTTTTAGCGGTATTAAGGGCAGCCTCTCACTCTCCCTTCAGGTTACTAACAAAATGTCATAGTTAAAGAATGCCGTGCCAGGAGAAGATAGCTGGTTTCAAATCCCTGCCCCCAGGCAAGTAAAACCCTGACTTGCTCAAGACAGAAGATCTTCTCTCCTGTTTTTCAAAATAATCGTATATAGGGATGGACCCTGTGCAGTGTGGCCTGCCTTGGTGTCCTAGAATTGGAGCCAGTCTTTCGCTTAATGTCCAAAGTATTTCTACGGCCAATATGTGTTTTCTTATGTCAGACCAAACTGTCTTTTTGAACATCAGTTCATTTCCTTTTGCCAAGTGCTTTTCGGACAGAGAGGCAAAGAGAATGAACAATCAAGTATTGACAGACTGGCATTAGCAGGACAGAGCCATACTAGTGACAAGGGCATTCCAAGGCACTTGCCCAGAGCTACAGAGTTGGGTGTGCCATACCTGCGGCTCAAAGGGAGGGCCTTCTATCCCCTGAGTTTCTATTGCCTGAGAATGGCAACTGCTGTCTCACTAAAAGCTCTGTCTTGACTACAGAGGCTCCAAAAGCATTCACAGATGAGGGGGAGGAAGACAGAAAGAAGAAGCCAAAGATAACCTGATCCCTGCCTGTCTGTTGGCACCTGTCGTCCTCTGGCTTCTGCTCCCAAAAGCAAGTCTGGACGACTGAGTTTTGTGGACATGGCGCTCCCAGAATTTGCCCAAGTACTGAATGTTTTGTGAGCAACCATATTCCCTAAGTAGGTAGCCAGCACTGCAGAAACCAAACAGCCTGTTAGCTACCTGACTTTAAGAGGAATGACCTAGGTTTTCTGCCAAGGGAGTTATCTGTCATCTCTGGCAAACTTGACAATCATCACTTACCTCGACAACCCTGCCCCACATCCCTTTATAAAGTCAGCAGGATGTCCTCTCACACACCCTGTGCTGGTGTCTAAAAAATTTATCTTGTCATGCTCAAATGTGTTTGGCAGCCACACTGATCGGCTGGGTGCTGAACCACCGCTCTGTAATTGTAGCATCAAAATGACAACAGCAGCAGAGCGGCAAATCTTGCCCAGCCCCACAGCATGCCTGAGACAAGACTCCAACAAGTAATAATTAACTTTTTTCTCCTGCCGCCTACAGTACCTGTCTAACTAAAGAGCTTCCCAAAGTGGAGGGAAAGGCCATAGAGAGAATCCAGGTGTTATTCAGAGTCAGTCCTTGCTGAAATGTGGTCTTCCAGTGGAAGCACCTGTATTCTTGGGAGGAAAAAGTGCTGGATGCAAAGTAACACCAGGACCAGAGGGAAAGAGGAAGGTGAACTATCCTAAGGAGCTTTGGATACTTTTTTAGAAGGATAAATATTGTGCTTACTGAGGAGAAAAAAAAAAACCAATCACAGAAAAATTTCACAGCTAATATTTTTACAAAAGTTGTGCCGGACATTACAAAACGTCTCTCAAGGTGGAATGCTTTAGAGAACAAAGGCTTAGCACAGGCCCAGACCCTTGTGTGGGTATGACATGATGTGACATGTACATGTCAAAATTCGCTTTAGTATAGTCAGAACCAGAGTATTGATAACCAAAATGTTAGTTACCTGGAGCAGTCCTGGAGAGGCTAAGACATCCTATACTGTTGTACATCAACCATTTCTACAAAGTTATCCAGACACCTAAAAGCAGCTTTCTTGGTTATCCAGATCCAGTTTCTTGGTTATGCCAGAATCAGCCTTGTATCTGACAATGCACATCTGTTGATTCTAAAGTATATTTGTGTGTGTGTATATACAGCACATATTTACATCTATGAAGACACAGACACTCATAGAGACCCACATGAGCTGGTACTTGCTGAGCCTTTACAGCCTTTAAGACTTGGAGGTTGAGAATTAGAGACAGAAGAGAGGCTGCTGATGGCCTATTAAAATGATCAAAGATGTAAATTCAGTGCCATTTAAAAACTGTTCATACTTATCAAATGATTATCTACAGCTACATTCTTTGTTAACTTATTTAAAGTCATGTTGCAAAAAAAGTCAAACCCATGAATGCTTAGTAGCTAAGGCTAGTGTTCAGAAGCACTCTAAAAGACATTTTGACCACATTTTGGAAAAGAAAATATTTGCATGTTTAATCATAATTTAGACTACCTTTGAGTATACTGTAAAGTGCTGTGTGATATAATATCAATAAAGTACTTATTAAATGGCACTTTAATCTTTTCTTTTAAAATAACGCACTGTTCTAAACTTCAGTATTGACTATTGACTGGTGCATAGAATCCAATGCTGTAATTAGAAAGTAATCTGTGACTAGAATAGACCTTTGTCCCTGTTAGTAGCCCTGTTGCCATGTTCAGGCTTTTAGAAAATGTGCTTTTGTATGTGCTTTTGTGTCACAAAATACATCTATAAAGAAAATACTATTTCTGTTCAGAGCCTCTGAAACTTGGCTTTCTTACATTTGGTTGGTTTATGTGACAATCCCTATGAAATGAGTGGACGTGTGATTTTTGAATTAAATGTCTTTTCCATTTGGTGGTATTTTCTTGAGTTTCTGATAGAGTTTGACTCAATACATACTTTAATATGTCTTCAAATAAGCATATATAGATGATCAAAGGTCGCGAGTCTTGGCTCCTGCAGTTTTTGGTGACAACCACAGTGCTGATTTCTGATGAGCTCTGAGAAGCTTTGCTTTCCATTTAGGAAGAGGTCAGATGCTAGGAAACTTGAGAATTTGCTCATCAGGCATATTAAACAATTGAGCCGGAAGAGTCACAGTCCACTTCACATTTCTAACTTTCTTCCATTAGAATACATATTGTTTTATTCTTCCTAAATTTGACTTTCTAATCACCTGTTTTCTGGAACCTCATGAACGCAAGGATGGAATCATCAGAGCCAGAACACAGGCAATGCCCTCGGCACAGCTGGCTTGTAAATCAGTTGT